AATCTTGTTTCCGTACAGAAAATTATCTAGGTGAAAAGACAGCCACGAACGGGATATGTGGTTTATATGAATTTTTATTTAAAATAATTTAAGAAATTTTAAAATGTGGGCCAAGACAATTATGGTATCAAGTATTCGAGAGATTGCAAAGAATGTTTGGTTTGGGCATTATTACTTAGATTTTTTTTTTTTAACAAACCTTTACTACAAAAGTGTGAGGGACGTAGAAATATAAATAGTAACACTTACTATAAAAGTATAAATAGGTTACCTTTCCGATCCAATTATGCCTCTTAAATTCTTTCCCTTTTTAGTTATTTTCAGAAATTTCAAACGATGAAATTTATGTCTGAGAATTCGTCTGATTTTGTTCATCACCTGACATCTTCAGTTTCCTTTAAAATTGTTTATATATATCTATTGTGGTGACGTATGGATCCGATTCCGAAAGCACAAAATCTTGATTCGATTGTGTTTCTTTAACTACATCCTATCAGGAGGAAGGTTAGTACGGTAGAAATTTTATGGTTTGCTAAAAAAATGAGTAGGTATTTTTTACAATAATCTAGATCTCATTTTTTACTGCATCCTATAAAAATCCTGCCTCTATAAGGAAGGCTAATACGTAGAAATCTTAGGGTTTGTTAAAAGAACAAATGAGTATGTATATTTTACAATAATCTAGTAAGTATCCGTCTTGGATCTCATTTTATATTGGAAGATTTTCTTTTTGTTTAAAATGAATGTAAATTTATTATTCAAACCAAAAAGCTAAATAAATGCTTATACTTTTTGAAAGACAATTAGAATTTAGATAAAGAAAGGTCTTGTGGCAGTGGATTGATATATTTTTATACCGTGATTAAGTACTCCTCATGGATCAAATTCTTCTATTATTTTGTTCACGGGGTCTTGCGGGAGAACTTGTGAATGTTCTCAGGGAAGCAGGACAAGTCGTGCGGGCTGATCTTTTGAAGTTTGGCACTCATGTAAAGAAGAAGGTTTGATTTCTAAAACCACATTCTTGGTTATTTAGACAGCTTTTTGTGCTTCTTAATTAGAGTGATTGATATGTATTTTGTTTGATACAGTTTTTGAAGGAATCAAAACTGTACGGAGCACATCTCAAAGAAATAGCAGATGAAAAAAGAAAAAAAAAAATAGCAGATGATGCTCCAAAAGCTACGAAGATCACATTCGATAACTCTGACGACGAAGACTAAAT